AGAAGAAGCCGTTCTTTCTCATCAGTATTTAAGAAGATGTTTTAATGTCCTGCTGGAAATGTGAAAGGCGTTATGGAGCAAGTGTTAGAGTGTTCAGATCACTGCTAATTAGTATCATGGAAAAGCGTATGTGTGCAGGGTTGTTCAAGTTAACATAGCAGCTAAATCACTAATGCACTTAAAAGAAGTTGCCTCTCATTGCGATGTGTTTATCACCTGCAGGAGAAAACACTTTACAACAGTCAGACTTCTTTTTACTTTATTTCCCTTTTGCAGAAAACATTGCCAATTAGTAAGACATAACAGCGGCAATGTTGTGCCCGCTTACATAACCTATTTTTAACAATATGGGTGCAATCACAGAGTGCTTCTCTTGCGGCGCTGTGGAGGAGCACGAGGGTTTTTCTCCCACCGACTCGCAGCTGCTTCAGAGCGCCGAGCTTCAAAACCACGCAGAGTGACGGTCTGTCACTCAGCCATCATGTCTGCCTGTCTCTCACTCTTCCTCCCCGCCATCTTCCTCCTCCTCCTTCTTCTTCAAACCTGCTCCTTGTGCATTCACTCGTTCTCTCCCTCCGGCTTTCATCTCCACTCCTGCTCTCTTGTCTCTTGGATCTGTTCGTCCTCTCACATTCACTCTCCTCTTTATCACCACTGTGTCACTAAGGTTTATATTTCATCCCTTCATCTTCCTCTTTCCTCCCTTGGTTTCCCCCATCCCTCTCTACCATTCCTTCCCTTGCCTCCACTCATGCGACCCATCTGTCCTTTTTTTACCTTTTGGCAGACTTGGGTATCTCTATATTAAGCCTCCGCCGAGCCGAGACGATGTAGAGTCGACACAGAAATATAATGTGACTCTGAAGCTATGTAAACAACTGAAGGGAAGTTGCGGTGTGAGCACAAAGCAGCATTAATTATCGCCTCTACTTGAGGTGACACATTTCCTCTCATAAAGAAACTTGTGTCAAATTTAGAACAAAAACAATACGAGCCCAAGTCTGTCGTTTCTCTTAAAGCAGCGCAAAGAAAGTCGGTGAGTGTAGTTGGCTAGCAGGGTTGGGAGGGTTACTTTACAAATGTATTTTGTTACAATTTGTTACCTGTAAAAACATGTAATCAGGTACCAAGTCTGAGTATTCATTTCATTTTCATTTCAATCTTTATTTCAAACAGATAACAAAAAAATAACAAATAAAAAAATAACAAATGTGAAAAACAGAATACCGTATTGTTAAAATACAGTATTTATCCACATTCATGATAATATTTATATATTCAACAAAAAACAAAAAAGTCTTCATATTAATAATAATAATAAATCATATGTGTCCGAAAGGGAGCAGGAGGAAGCAAATGCTTATTCATTCCCACCCCTTACTTGATCAATGATTGTCCTTTAAATCATTATGCAAGTTATTCCTAAAGTATCAAAATATAAAAGTAATGTAATCTGATTACTTTCCAGTTACTTTTGGATTACCTCAACATCAAATGCAATGCAAATTAATATAAGAGAAACTAACTATCCATAAGATGTTTTTTAATTAAAGGTGGGGTAGGTAAGTTTGAGAAACCGGCTCGAGATACACTTTTTGTTATATTCCATGGAATGCTCTTAACATCCCGATAGCAATGAATATCTGAAGTGCTTTGACAAAAAATCCATAAAAAAATGTCATCTGTGGAAGCCGTAGTACTGTAAAAAGTCCGGCTAAAGTAACTGGATGGCCTACCTGCCTGTCAGCCTTCCATCTGTGCACAAACTTATCTCGTGCCCTCATTGGTCATGTGCGCGTTCGTGTGTGTTGGAGGAGGGGCTCTGTAAGGAAGTGGCAGATTTTCTCCGGTTGTGTATTTTCAAATTCTAGCGATCTCGAGCCGGTTTCTCAAACTTACCTACCCCACCTTTAAGTGTATTATGTCAAGACAACAGAACAATGTGACCTTAGAAAAGAGGAAACCAAGATATTTAGGATCAAAAATGATTTTATTTATAGGAAAAGCTGCCTTTCATGAAGTATATTCAGGCAGTAGCCTAACACTGAAACACATGAGCACAGACTACAGTTAAAAAAAAAAGCAGAATTAAAATCTGAGCTGACAGAAAATTCTCCGTTTTAGTTTAAAACACACAGTTAAGCTCACACACACTATTTTATGAACATATCGGTTCACCTGCTGAATTAAAAACAGAACAAATGAGGCAAAGAAAGTGAAAACCATAAAGCAGATTCAGGCAGTAGGCGTATATATTCACACTTAAAGTATTATCCTCAGAGAAGAGATAACATCTGATCCTTTTACAACAAACACTGTATGATCTTTCTAGGTTTGAGTAACACTGTAATCCTGCTAGTAATCCCCAAGTTGTACCGGGATCTGATTACGTCTTTTGTATGCAACTGTCAGGGAATACAGTTACTTTTTTAACTTACGTAATCCCTTTACATGTAATCTATTCCCCCCCTCGCCTGTCGGCCAGCACCTCCTTAGTGCCTCCGTGCTGTTTGCCAGGCTGCCGGTATGATTCACAGAGTTTTAATTTCACTGTGACCGGTGGCACCATATGTCCAGTGATTGAGTCATGCGGCCTGTTCATGAAACTTGTTGTGACAGGACGTTCGAAGGCTCTGGATTTGTTTATCTCAGCTGCGTGTTGCACCCCCCCGTCGAGGCACTTGACTCATACCCTTCAACCAGGAGGAAGCCCTGTGTAAACCTGTAGCTACAAACATGGAGGTGGGAGGGATGACTCAGAGGTACAGGGATCTCAACAAAGTGAGATGAGAGTAGCCTTTCTCAACTTATTACAAAAGCAGATCAGTTGGAACCACAAACTTTGACCCACAAAGAGATCTTTTTGCGGCCTGTGTAATGAGTCTCAAACATGATGCATCACCAGGCTCACTGCAGCATCACTTTTGATTGCCTTTCCCACTGGGATTGCAATTATGATGTATGACGTTTTAATGTGGTCATAAGTCGAGGCAATCGTAAGAATAAATGGCAAGAAATTAAGCCTTTTTAATTGGAAGCTCTATTCAAAGCGTTATTTCCAGAAAGTTTATAGTGCACCACATTATCTCTCTGAAGGGAAAGTGGTAAAACGCCAACCTCTAAAATGAATGTAGTGATACGTGACGATGAGATAATAAGCCTCTACGAGCACACCTGCTCAGAAGTATAGCTCCAGATAATAAAGAGCAAAAAGAAGTTTCACAGTACCTCGTTACCTAAATAATCAAATCTTTCTGGAAACCGTGTACATAGAGTTTGGTCAACATACGAGATAAACCCTGTTTGCAGCACATAATAATAACCTGTCAAATGAAGCTGTCATGATGAACGGAGGGGAATTACCTGTCATCCATTGTGTAGTTAGCAAAGTGTCAGGTTCCTTTTGCAACTACTCTTTGGAGATTAGATTGATATCTTGCAAGTCTCTGATCAAATGTTCCACCTCTGTAGTATTCCCTAATACTTCCCTTTAATCACATACACAGTGAGAAAGACCCTCTTACACACACTAGTCAGCTTTTATTATTGTTCACCCAGGACTTACGGTCTTAGGAGATCATGTAGGAGACCATACTCACAAATTAAATTCCACTCAAATGAAATCCTTTTGAGATGTTTGTCCCAAAATGACTATAATTGTATCACTTTTGGGTGATACAGGTCGCAACTCCATCACATAACACGTCTATGATGACCCTGTACCTTTGAAATGATGTGGACTTTTTGACCCTTCGAAACCTTTGTGTATGGTTCCCAAAAAAGTAGCTCTCCGTAAAAAGCCTTTGCTGACAACTTTGCAAACCAATGTATTGTTTTACGTAAACTGGCACAGCCAAAAACAAACATTCCCGTTTGATTATTAACTGAAATCACAATTTAAACTGAGCACACAGGTATAAACTACACACCACTGATAATGAAAAAGAATACACCCTACCATATCGCCTCATCTAGGAATTTCATGAAGCATAAACCTTTCATTCTGCCAAGTCTGGGTCACTTAATTCCCAGACTCACATTCGCTCTAATTATTCCCCCAATCTCCCCTATACTCATCCACCAATCACCATACTCCTAATCATCATCTTTCTGTACATCTCATAAACTATCATCAAGCCTGATTTAGACATCATCATTTTCCATTTTCATTCCTCAACGAAGCTTTCATTAGCCGTTAAGTTGGGCTTGTTTGGAGCACCTGCATTTTTCCCCCTCCTCAGACTAATCAGTTTCAGAAACTGTCATTAAGGGCAGAGGCAAGGGTCTGACACCACAGATGGCAGCAGCCTCGTGCAAATGAGCTCTGATTACGAGGTGGCAGGTTTCACTCCCGTTATCATCATTGCCTTTCACGCCATTAGGCATACACAGTGCCAGGGTCACATCACCCAAGGACATTTACACGGTAGATTTCCCTTACCGGCAAGTCACCTTGTGTTTTTCTTGCACAGCCTCTCCCTTCGGCTTCATTTCGAAAGAATTTGACAACCTCGTTTGAGTCTGTGTTGGCAAAGGCTCCACACTCGGTGAGATATTGGATAGAGCAGTTATTTTTGGCTCGTACATCATACCAGGTGCTCTCGCCCCTGATCCTCACATTGGAAAGCAGAGTCTGTGAAAATGACATCAGGTTCCTGCTGCTGTGCTCCCATCAATATTTAAAGCTCTTACTCATTTTATAGTTGATTTCTCACTGGCTGGGGAGCCCTTGGCCTCTGTCAATCTGAGGGGAAGCACAGGTCCTAGAAAGAAAGGCAGTATTGATCTAGTAACAGTGGAAAGAATGGAAGCCAAAAGCTTAGTTCAAACACCTTTCCCATGCTGTTTTGCACATAGTGAAGCCCCTGTAAACACAACCTGTCTGTCCCAGCTGCTACCTGACCTATATTAGCTTTTGAAAATGTCTGTGTGTCTTTTTGCTTCTAGCTCAGTCAGGAAGGCTCTAACTGAAGTACCTTTTTCTCCATCTTTTCTGTTAGGTGTGAGGCGGCCTCCAGAGCTGGATAAGACCAATCACAGTGTCCATTATACCCTCCTGATCGCCTGTGTTTTGGTGGCTTTCGTCCTTGGCGCTTTCCTATCTGGCTTCCTGGTCTCCTGCTACTGTAACCACACGGGCCACAAGACCAAGAAACTGTCGAAGGATCCCGAGGCCCCGATCCCTCACGCCCTGTCCCTCCGCAGCCTGGCCAAGCTCAATGGCCTCCTGGACAGTCAGAGCAAGGACGACAAGCTGGAGGTGTCATCTCCAAAGATCTACAACTCTTTCTTCGCCAACAGCAAGGAACATCACACACCAAGGAGAAACGGCCATCACGCAATGACGATGGGAGACCTGGTTCACCCCCAACACCACCTCCACCACTCCTCAGAGCTGTCCGGTCTGCCGACACCTGACTCAACCCCAGAACTGCCCATCAAGAGCATGAAAGCCTTCAAGAACCAGTGGGAGAAGAACCAGAACTGCAACAATGCCAAGGAACCAAAATCCCACAACGCTGGCTCCAGGCCCAGCTCAGCCCTGCTCCACCCGCAGGTCTTCCCATACTCCCATAGCCTGTCCAATGGGCAGCCACTCATGGGAGGTTATCTCCATCCAGATGAACGCAAAATCCATAATGTTGAACGAGTGCTGTCTCAGCAACCGTACCCCGGTTACTCCCAGAAGGTGATGGAGGTGACCTCGCTGGATGAGCTTCTGAAGCACATCCATGAGGCCAGCAGCAGCAAGAACTCCCAGTTAATGAGTCCATCAGGTCTGATGGCGTGCGGGGGTGGAGGTCAGCTAGCATTCGCCAACCGTATTCAACCTCAGATCCCCGAGACAGAATCGGCCCCCTACTACAGCTCGTCCACTTTACCTCGAGACAGCCTCACCCGACGCATGGATGTTCCTCCAGACATCCCCTCTCACCACCAGTCCACCCTGGAGAGGAGGCACTCCTCCCAGAGGCACTCGCTGATTGCTGCAGCCGCTAAGATGCCAAATGGAGTCGGAGCAGGAGGGGGTGGAGGAGGAATGATACCTCGCCAGCACAGCTTCAGCCAACGAAACTGTGGGCCCCATCAGCCGCCTCCCCTCCTGGCCCGGATGAACTCGACGGGCAGCGCCTGCGAGGTTCACTACCCCCTCATTCCCAACGGGTACCTGACACGCCAGCACAGCTACAACGGAGAGCAGCCGGAGGTCCAGCACAGGGGCGCTATCGTCCGCCGGGCCTCCTCTCTCAAACCCGACGTCCCTCCAAAGCCCTTGTTCATACCTGCCACGTCCCCCGTTAACGAACAGGGAAAGTACAACTACTGAGGAGGCACACTCCTGGACTAGAGAGGGAGTCTCCCTCATTGTGTCTTCATAAAGGAACTTCTCTTTGAAGAAATGCAGTGGGTTCGAGGTTGCAGACCTTCAAGAAAAGTCGTGTGGCAGCCAGTGTCACTGTGGACGAAAGCCTCAACCAAACGTGTTTTCCCCTCTTCTTTTTGTCCAACGAATATCTTTGTACCATATTGGTATTGCTCAGCTACTTGCTTATTATAGAACTGCTGACTCAGGTGACGTGACGCCACCTCCTTATATTAGGCTGCCAATGTCCTCAGTGTGGATTTACAATGCAACTTAGTTTTTGGACGTGTTGATGTCAGAACAACTTGACACATCAGTCATCTTGAAGACTTAAAAGCCAGAGGCTCCTGCGATGCTTAGATTCATGCTTTTGCTTAACCTTTTCTGATGTAGTGTTGGTAACCAGTCCCCACCCGCCCCACCCTCGAATGTGTTTATATTATGCATGTGTGTGTATATATATGTGTGTTTATATCCACACCGTATATGTATACATATACATATGCAGTATATGTAACCTGTGGTGAAAAGTCAGCGAACTCCCCTGAAAGTAGTTATGTCTCTGCCTTACTATACTCTTTCATCTTTGGGCATATCAAACGATCCCCCCCCCACCCCCTAAGGAAGATCTTAGGGACACCAAATCATGCACTTCATAGATTATACATTGTCAGTTGGCTGAACACTGAACCATATGTGTTCATGTTGAAAAGAGAAAGGAAAAACTTCAACAAAGCAGCTATACTCGTCTTTTCTCTCTTTTCTTTTCCCGCCCCAGCAGATGTCAGATCAGAAGTGACGCAATCGGTTCCATTTAAGTTCCTCGAGATTGTTTCTATGAGATTGGTGCTCCACACATCCAGTGGGTCTAACATCCTCTGAAAAGGAAATAAACAAAACTGAATACTGACATGTCTTGGACCCAAAGAGGACAAAGTCAGAAACGCCATGCCATCTGGCAGTATGAGAATGAAAAAAACGGACTGCAGTTATCATAATTATTAACTTTGTGGCTATTGGTTGTAAATAAAGGAATAATTACTAGCCAAATTTTAACTGTATGTGTAAATGTGTGCCTTATTTAATAATAGTGTGTGACATGGGGGTAGGGGTTAATGCAAGGGGCTCAGACGGCTACTATGCTACAGTATATTGTAGGTGTTTCATTTCCTATGGTCGTCAGTATGTGTCATATCTATTGTATATTTGAAGAGTTTCATTCCAGAATGAGATATTGTCATTAAAATCTGCACCCATTCAGTTAACTAGAATTATGATTGTAACACTCACTAATGAAGCATATGTTGTATTATATATAGTATATTGAGCCCTTTTTCTTCACAATTATGTCATTTGGAAAAATATGATGATATATTATTTTCAAAATGGATACAGTGTTTTGGAATGAAACCCTTCAATTCTCTTTGTTTCCGTTTCATTTTTTATTTTGAATCCCAGAAGTGTGAGCCTACAGATTGTTTTGGGAGTGTTTGGCAAAGCAAGTACCCACAGCCTGAGACTGCAGACGTTCAGGTTTGACTGCCTCCATAATATGTCACTTTTTCACCGGGTGTCACTTTCCCCTATAGGTGCCATTGTTCACTTTTGTTTGTTTTTTAGAAGTAGCATTAGCATCGCTTGGGTTTTTTTTTTTTTTAAAGGAGCAGCTCACAGTTCCTCTTAAGTTATCTCCTACCGACCTGTAGCTATTGTAGAAGTCATTTAAATAAGGCTGATAATGGATGGAGCAACTATGTGCCATTTTGTCCAATGCTTAATGTAAAAAAAGAAAGAAAAAAGGTTATACTATATTGCTAAAGAATAGATGCAGGATGTATGCATGAAACTGGACTTCTACGATGGTTACGGCTGTAGATTTTGACTTGTGTCACCGGGTGTCAGCTGCAACAATATTGAAATAAAATTAAAAAAACAGTAGTGGAGATTTTAGGAAATTAGTAGAAACTTGGAGAAGTGCAATGAACTCTGATCCGACAAGCTGAGATTGTCTCTTGGATCGATCGAATGGTGGGACTGGTTCCAGGCGGCACTGCGTCTGAAACATCACGACTTCAACACTGAACGCTTTTCAGCAGAGTCACGTGGGCCACGGTCGACTGGCTCCGTGATCAATTCTGTGAAAACAACCGCGTTATTTACTGTATCTGAGAGTGGTGTTTTATTGATTGAAATGTCCCAGAGCTCATTTGGCCCCAATATAAAGTTTACAACTCCAACTCGAGCAAATGAAGGAACATACGGCCGCCGACCACTTTTGTTAAAAGGAAGAAAGAAAAAAAAAGATTTGGATATGAACGTGCAGCAGAGCATTAAATAGCTTTCCGAACAAATACATACAAAACATCCAAGTTGATTGAGGGTCGTGACCGTAATGGTTCATAAGAGGAATTGTGGCAGCTACAGTGTTTGATGAGTGGAAGTGTGTTATCTTTCTCTGCCGCTGACAGATTGTAAAGGAGACGGAGCGGTCTCGCCTCTTAAAGCTCTTTCAGTGTTTGATTTGGTGTAAATACATTCTATCTGGGCGGGGTCTCATTGATTCAGTATTATGTTTTACTTTTCTCTGTTTCATTTCAAGGCTATGCCCCTTGAATAACTATGAATTTGGTCTCACAGAAATACCATTGTATGTCTCTTATACTAGGAATAAAAATGAAAATATGATGCAAGCGTGTCACTGGTGAATGTGTTGAAATATGTCAGAGCACTATGGGTGATGCATGAACAATAGATTGAAGATGAGAGTTTGGTTGTTATACAGTTTCTTTTGTCGGCTGTTTCAACTCAGAGTTCAAAAACAATACCCTCATTGAAAGTGATGTATTCATTGATGCAGTTTTAGAACTTCTTTTGAAAGATATCTTAAAGGAAATACTCCAGCATTTTGGGAAATGCACCACTTTGCTGTCTCACTGGGAGTTGCATTAAAAGATCAGTATTAATTAAATCTGAGGGAGATCCAAGGAGTGTTTAGCCGAGCTTGCACAGTGCGGGGAAAGCATCAATTACAACGGCAGTCTTCAGAGGGGGGGCATTGAGCCTGAGACCACAGCCTGAGGGGAAGAGCTCTGCAGACTCGGATAAGAAACTAAAAGGTGAGCTTTTATGCTGTGTAAGATGAATTCACACACATTTGTCTTTCATTTATAAAGTGAGTTTGGTCAAGTTGTTCCACAAAGAGCAGCACAAAGACTCTACAGTATTATCCAATCCAACTTTATTTATATAGCACATTTAAAAACAACAGAGATGACCAAAGTGCTGTACATCAATACAAAAAGCAGCATAATCACATTTAGACAAGAAACTAATGTCAAAGCACGAGACAATAAAACCATACTGATAGCCACAGACGGAAAAACTCTCATACATGATGTGAAAACATTTTAAAACAACAAAATAGTATTAGTATTAACCATGGTAAATGTACTTAGGGGTAACCGTATTTCCCATGGAATTAAATAAATGATTAGGATTAAACCTTCAGGACTGGTTTCCCTGTAGTGGAAGCCAGTTTTGTCTCTTCTTAATCAACATGTGTCCCCTATTCATCATGTCTCTTCATCAACATGTGTCCCCTCTTCATCATGTCTCTTCTACATCAACATGTGTCCCCTCTTCTCCATGTCTCTTCTACATCATGTGTCCCCTCTTCTTCATGTCTCTTCTACATCAACATGTGTCCCCTCTTCTTCATGTCTCTTCTACATCATGTGTCCCCTCTTCTCCATGTCTCTTCTACATCAACATGTGTCCCCTCTTCTTCATGTCTCTTCTACATCAACATGTGTCCCCTCTTCTCCATGTCTCTTCTACATCAACATGTGTCCCCTCTTCTCCATGTCTCTTCTACATCATGTGTCCCCTCTTCTTCATGTCTCTTCTACATCATGTGTCCCCTCTTCTCCATGTCTCTTCTACATCAACATGTGTCCCCTCTTCTCCATGTCTCTTCTACATCATGTGTCCCCTCTTCTTCATGTCTCTTCTACATCATGTGTCCCCTCTTCTTCATGTCTCTTCTACATCATGTGTCCCCTCTTCTCCATGTCTCTTCTACATCAACATGTGTCCCCTCTTCTTCATGTCTCTTCTACATCAACATGTGTCCCCTCTTCTTCATGTCTCTTCTACATCAACATGTGTCCCCTCTTCTCCATGTCTCTTCTACATCAACATGTGTCCCCTCTTCTTCATGTCTCTTCTTCAACATGTGTCCCCTCTTCTTCATGTCTCTTCTACATCAACATGTGTCCCCTCTTCTCCATGTCTCTTCTACATCATGTGTCCCCTCTTCTTCATGTCTCTTCTACATCATGTGTCCCCTCTTCTTCATGTCTCTTCTACATCAACATGTGTCCCCTCTTCTTCATGTCTCTTCTACATCAACATGTGTCCCCTCTGTGTAAAGAGATTCTGAAAGTTTCAGGAACAAAGATTCTCTCTCTTTTTGTCCTGATCCATTTATATAAAAACCTGTCTGAAAATGAGCTGATCAGATTTTGGCCACTTAATGATGTCATGACGATAACGGTTTCGGCTTGTGTAACCATTAGCCAATCACCAACCAAGGTAACCCCCCCCCCCCCCCCCCCCCCCCCCCCCCCCCCCCCCCCCCCCCCCCCCCCCCCCCCCCCCCCCCCCGGAGGAGAATGGAGGAACAGGCTAACAGGTGTGCAGGTGTGCGTCATATGAGAGGCCCCGCCTTAAATGGAGCGCGATTTCCACCAAAGATTTGGAAATTGGTCCGTGCGCAAAGCATTGTGGGGATTTTAAGACCGCGGAGGATACACATGTGCAGCCTCGAAATTTCCCGCTACGAAGTATGCCGGCCCCGGTAGAATTCCAAGTATGCTGGACATTGGAACAGTCCTTCGGCGGCACTCGATGACGTAGTATGCTTGAAATAGTGGCTCTGGAGCAGCCTTCCTCGACATTGAGAAACACCCAGAGAATCAGCACTTTTGAAACAGCGCTGAAACAGAGGGGATTATGGGATGCTGCAATGATCTGTTTCAGAGACATGTTCTGTATATATCTGAGACCTATAATATATTGATGAAAAACAGTATAATAGGGGACCTTTAAAACTGATTTTTGAAAAGGAAAAAGTAAATGTGTTGTTTTATCATATTGATCCAATGGTACCTGCTTCCTCTACTGAAGGTAACATGTATATTTGTTCTATTTCCAAACCTTTTTTCTATCATTGAGTATAGGTAACGCTTATTTTAGTTTCTTGCAGTTTCCTTTTTATATTTTATTGCGAAGAACTATTTAATTGGACATGGGACAGTGTTCACTTGGTGCTCTTAAAATATACTTAGTACATTTAAAACCTACATGTAGTGTCCTTCATTCACAAAAACATTTACAATGATAAAGACATGATCAACAAACATCAGGTTTAAAATGGAGCAGCTTTTGCAGAACGTTGCGTCTGTTTTTTCTAATAATTAGTAGGAAATGTATTTATTTTTTCTATAAAAGTTAATAAATTGTAACTGAAATGTTGAGTATTGAGCAGCAGGTGTTATTTTGTCCGCCCACTCTACAACCTGCAGCGAGAAGTCATGTTACTCCCCTGCACATAATGTTCCTCCAGCACACAACAAACACACATACACACACATGCACACACATACACACACACAATACACAACACACAACATACAACACACAGCACAGCGGATATAAAATAATAACGGCATGTGAACATTGGCATACCTGTAGCAATAGAAAAAAGAGCCCAGTTCTCCATACTTGTTCCCTCTATATTTTAGCACCTTGCTGTTTTTCTTTTATAACAGCAACCATATAGAAGTAATTGCTATAATTCAGACCGATGTATAGCATATGATGGATGGGAACATGTTCGTGCTTACAGAGAGCTCTTAAAATGTTTGTGTGGAGAACTGTATGCGCTTTTACACCGCTTCCTTTCTGCAGGAACATGTCGTCATAGAGGAAACATTTTTTGATTGGTTTTCTGAGGAACTCCAGTACAATCAGTATTTTATTTGTACTTTTCCATCACCTCACAACAGGGTAATTTGTGGCTTTCTCTCCAGTCTGAACAAACAATGCTCGGGAGTGTTTACAATCTGAGTTTAAGCGCTGAGTGGCTCTGCCTAATAGACTCCCCACAGGCTGTTACATCAGAGATAATAAACAGTCATGGTGTGAAGGACCCCCGACAGCGAGCAAACAGGAGGGGCCGGGGCCTGCTGAGAGACATTGTGCAAGAGCATTTCATCAAGAACTGTACTGAAGTTAAAGAATGTGGTACTATTGAATATGTCCATGCTTCATACTCCTACGATGTGTTAGAACCTAAACACTAACTACGATACATTTATTTGACGAAATGAGTTACTAATTACAAAATAACTAAATTAAATTGGCTAATGAATTACTATGATGCTATTATGGACTAAGATACATAACAGTATAAAAAGTGACCTCTATTTATCGAAGCTGTTTCAAATGATGCCCACATTAATGGATAGCTAATTATAACAGTCATTTAATAAATTGATCATCCTGCATATTGAGTACTTTTAGTTTGTGTACTTTAAGAACATGGTAATGCTCACACCTTTGTGCTTTTATTTAAATTAAAAGAGGACCTAAGGGTAATTTTCAACTGTGGTATTACTACTTATATTTTAAAGAGGCCATATAATGCTAATGTTCAGGTGTATATCAGTATGTAGTGTCTCTACTGGGACATGTCTCCACGCTTTAATGTTCAAAAAGCTCTTTCATTTTCTCATACTGCCTGTGCTGCAGCACCTCTAAGAAAGATAGGTTTTATTCCCCCAGTTTTCTGACTCGTGGATAACGTCTATCATATTTTCATCATCTCATCTTTCAATGCTGAGAGCATCACTAACAACCTTTTTTTACCCCCACATTGCACACAAGGCAGACATCTCACATATTTTAAAAGATGAGTGGATATAACCAAAAGTACCTGCATGGTCTTCAGGTAAATGAGAAACTAAAAAAAATCATTTCTGGGTGAAGCGCCCCTGAACTGTAAGAAACCAATTTAAGGAAGATAGACCACGGGGGATTTTCACGGAAACCACAGACTGCATCAAAAGGGTTGAAAACACATATTTTTAATCATGCTCACATTGTGTCCCCAGCTGTACTCGCCACAGGTGCCTGCCGTCTGAATACAGAGTGTGCAGTTTGATTATCAATGTAAAGAGCCTGCAGCAGACACTGAGCCACCAGAGCATCTTTACTGCAAATTCAAGGAAGTCAGTGAGCCATACCTTACTGTAATGTCCCTCAATTTAACGTCGTGTCCTCCTGTAAATGCATTACCGCTGAATTGTTCTCGGATAAACCTATTCAGGGTCTTAAGCGAAATTATGTTTTCCTCTAAATATATACAGTGAAAGGACTCTGACGGGTGGCTTGACCTTTTAGCCAAAACAGTTCTCCTAATGAGATGCTATAGATTAGTTTATGCAATTATCCTAACCGCAGTCTATTAGATAATTGTGTGTGTGTGTGTGTGTGTGTGTGTGTGTGTGTGTGTGTGTGTGTGTGTGTGTGTGTGTGTGTGTGTGTGTGTGTGTGTGTGTGTGTGTGTGTGTGTGTGTGTGTGTGTGTGTGTGTGCTGTGTGTGTGTGTGTGTGTGTGTGTGTGTGTGTGTGT